GAAAATGACCACAAAGATCACTCAACAATTTACCGACGCATTGCAGTGTTTCGGTTTTCGGCGCTGGAACCTTTCCTTTCAGCAAGGAACCAAAAACACCCTGCTGGTAGGTAGCACTTCTCGAACCGAAGACCAGCCGTCGGCTATCCTAGCACGAGACATTTACCGCTGAGTTGCGCCGTCCCCACCAGCCAATAGTAGTCAAGCATGCACCAGCAGCCACGCGCTATTTCAGCGTGCGACACAGCACCGACGCGTGTTTGTAACGGGGGCAAGTTCACCGCAGGCCGGTGCCGCGGTCACTTCCCTCCATCGATCCGGCACTCACGTCATACTCATCCATACTGTCCTCGCGAGTATAGCTCTCGCCGCTCTTCACCGACATCGAGCTGACGGTCTCGTTGCCGTACATGTGGAGTGTCTCTGACTTGGTGCTCGCCTCGCTGGCCGCTGGAAACGGAGGCAATTGGATCAGGGCCGGGGTTATGGCCGTGACGTCAAAGAGGCTTACCGTGTGCGCCGAAAACGTCGGACGTAATAGCTTTAGCCCGTTCAACGTAATGGAGCAGCCCGTTGGCTGAAGGGCTATGACGTCATTTTCCTACAAATAGGCTGACATTTCTCAGCTATGCAATCTGTGCGTTACGCATCATGCATTATGGGCCGTAAAGTATATGTGCTGCAAACAGCATGCACTTGTTCTGTCCAGGATACTTACAGGCTGACTCCACCACTTTCTGATTCGCCCTCTGCATTCGTCGCCGTATAAAGAACACGACAAGCACGACGTTCAGAAGAAGAAGCAGCCCGCCCACGGAAGAGACGACGATGATGACGATCCACGGAAGCTGACCCTCTTCAAACACCACCAGCTCAGCGGTGTCAGGGTCATCTGAGGGGTCACAACGAGGTCACGACAAAATCACTCACCAGCCTTCTTCTTCTTGTGGCGGCGCCGACGGTAGCAGCTGATGAAGACGATGTTGAGGAGCAGCAGTAAGGCTCCGACCACCGTGACAATGATGATGGTGAGCCGGGGGAAGGTCGTCTTAGTGAGGTCGTCCCGGTCAGTGACGTAGCCGACCGGGGGAGTGCCTGGACGAGTTATCGGGCGTGCGTGTTAAGACACCTCCACCCTGGTCCTCGAGTGGGATCATGCAATAAAAAGACCATCACCACCTCCATTACCATTAGCGACGACGTAACCTTCACCGCTAGCGTCAATGTTCACCGTATTAGTGAATCCCGGTCTTTCTCTTGACACATACCCGAAATAGGCACAGCATGTTAACATTTGCACAGCTGGCAATGTTCTATCAATGGCAAAAAGTAACGCATTTCTTTGTCAGTGTCATGCATGCGCCAACACGTCGTCATCGCACACAGATGGCCTTTAAGAGATGAGTGATAGGCAAAGCGTAAATATCAGAATATACGAAAGAGAAACGGGTTAAATGTAAATACTTGGCATGCTGAAAGACATAGCAGTTAATAAGAATAGCAGCAGCTAAATTGAGCGTCTAGTAAAAGGCGAACTGAAATATATTTGGAGCCTTACAGAACGATATTTAAGTAGTGCAGTCAGTTCAGAATGCAAGCAGTTTAGTAGAACAGATCGTCTTCCAGATACAGAGCTTGACGAAGGTCAGATCGAAACAAAACATGGTTCACAGCCCCCACCCCTGTAGTAAATGTCAGGTACAGACACTGATAGTGTGTATGCACAAAGGTAAGTAATTTCCTGGCGAAGCCGGCCGGCGTCTGGCGGCAGCTTACCCGAGGTTTTCAGCCGGATCTCGTCCCTGGAGAAGCCGCTGTCGCCCAGCTTGTTGTAGGCCATGACGGACACACTGTACTGGCTGCTCGGCTGGAGGCCTGCCACCGTGAAGACGGAGATATTCGCCGGCTGGACGTCCTTGTAATGGAACTCGTCTCCGCCGTTTGCCTCTGAGTACCGGATCCTGTACATCTGAAGGGAAGGACGCACACGCTGTCTGCCACCGGTAAAAAGCGCGGCACCCAGTAGCCCGTCGCGGGTGCCAACAAAGTTATCGCTGATCGTGGTTTACGATCGTTGGCAAATCACGTAAGGTGATTGCTCACCACTTGCTTGCTGTTACGAGCAAATTCCACCTGGCTTTGTCGTTCTCAAAATTTACTTCCGGTGAAACACAGACCACATAGCTATTTCCATAGCTATTATTTATTATTGTGCTGTGCACAAAAAGGATGTGGATTGTAATCTAACCTGCAGGAGCCCTCCGTCGAAGCCTGGAGACCAGGAGAGTGTGGCCGTGTCGTGGGACACGTTGACCACCTTCAGCCCCGTCGGCGGGTCAGGGGAGCTGGGACGGCCCAGCACCAGCTCCTGGCGTCTGGAGCTGAGCTCATTGTGAGCCACACACTCGTAGGTGGCGTAGTCCGAGACCTGCACGTCCTTGATCTTGAGCACCGACTGCCAGGTCACCAGATCAACCTGTCCGAGGGAGCACGGCCTCTGAATAGCCATTCGCTAACGTAAGAAGAGTCGCTCGGAACATATTTCACACCGGGTTTTCCTTCCATTGGATATGCGAAATTTTGGAGAGCGTCGCCGGTTGGAACAGACGTCATTACGACCCAGCCCACAGGCTCAGCCCGGTCCAGCCCGGTCGTCGCGTCCTTAAGAATCTTACATCTTCGCAACCACTGGTTGCAGGCTCATTTTTCGGCAACACGATGCCTAATTTGTTGAATGTTGTTCTGCATCAATTGATGGGTATTTCCAGCAAGCTTTCTGATAACGCGAGTTTTCTCTGCAGCATTGCAATACTACTACGATTTTGCTTCCCCGATCAGGTAAACATGGAAGGCGTTCATTTTTCTAATTGCGAAAAGCTGGAGAGCACGGGCAGAAACTGGTTCCTGCTCTCGTCGTTTCAGCGTCGCTGCGAACGAAACCGAGGTATGCTGACGGAGGGAAAAACTTGTAATCGCTGGAACAAAAGTGTAAGTTGCCGTTGGCAGATGGGCACACCCTCTTGTGCGCAAAAATGGATCCTCCTGCCTCTGAACGGTTTAAGGGATTTATTAAAGTCCCAGCATGCAACGAAATATTTATGGAAGACGAATTTGCCAACGCTATGATGAAAACGGTTTGCATCGGTCTCCGAATGTGTCTGAGTTTACTGGCTTAGTTATTGTTACTATTATATATATATATATTATATATGTATATATATATATATATATATATATATATAATATGCGCTAGCGAGAGAGAACTGCAGATCTATCTCGATCTCTCTATTCTCTATCTCTCTCTCTCTCTCTCTCTCTCTCTATCTCCTCTCTCCTCGCTCTCTCTTCCTCTCTCTCTATCTCTCCTCTTCTATCGCTCTCTCTCTCTCTCTCTCTCTCTCTCTCTTCTCTCTCTCTCTTCTCTCTATCTCCTCTCTCTCTCTCTCTCTCTCTCTCTCTCTTCTCTTCTCTCTCTCTCTCTCTCTCTCTCTCTCTCTATATATATATATATATATATATATATATATATATATATAAAGACAGCATCATCGGCATAACAAATAACAGCTTCCATATCTGTTTTCCCCTGTTTGTATCCCGCCGCACAAAACATCTCACAAATGCATCTCAAGGCGGAGAATGCTGCTGTTGATCGCGAGTGCACGGGCTCACCTGCGCATATGTCAGCTGGTACTTGGAGTAGATCGTGCCGTCTATGAGCACGCCGCCCTTTGACCACTCGAAGGTAACGTTTGGCACGCCGCTCGCGCGACACGCCAGGTACGCGTCAGCGCTGACTTCCGCCGCCGCCTTGGTGAACTGAGGCCTGGGGTCGATCTCTGGCGCGTCTGCCGCACATCAACACGGCCATTTGTCATCTGTCCGCGGTTGCCCGAGAAACAGCAAATAGTTCGCAGGCGCCGTCGCCAGCGAAGCGACGCAGGCTCCCAGTTACGTTCGGCGGCGAGTGACTGGGGTAGCGGGGAGTTGCACAGCGAAGTTAAATGAACACGGTCTACTGAGGGCATGCCTGCGTCAATAAAATGCACGAAACGTACCACGTTTGGATAACACACTGCATCTACATGCGGGTAGATGCGGCCTGAAAAAGGTGACGAAGTATTCACTTAAAGCGTTGAACGCCCGTGTCACCCACGCTGGCGGGGAACAGCCGCCTGTCGTCATGAGAGGTGGCTGGTCGGCGCATTGAGTGGTACTCACGCTTCACCAGTAGCCTGGCCGTGGCGGTGACCTTTCCAACGCCGTTGTCGACCCGGCACAGGAACTCGCCAATGTCCTCCCTCGTGGCGTTGCGCACGGTCAGGTATGACGAGCCGTTGCCGTAGAACATGGTGACCCTGCTGTCGCTAAAGTCGAAGTCGTCCCGGTGCCAGGTGATCATGTCAGCCGTCGTGGGGTTGGCGTCCGCCACACACTCAAGGACGCCGTCCTCCCCGGGCGACACCATCGATACCGTGGAGACCGAGCTGATCTCTGGCGGATCTGCGAGACAGAGCGGGCAGATGTCAACGAACCACTACAACCTGGGTGACATGAGTGTGGCCGACAAACTAGAGATGAAGTGCAGGCAATCGGGACAACTTCATCTTTTAGTAATATGTTTAGGACGACACTCACTGGCGTCTGGCTGTTCTAACGCGAGCGATGTCATTTTTACTAGAGGCGAAACGGCCGACGGCCTTGACCTCGACCGCAACCAAGTGAGCAGCCAGTGAATGCGTTTGAAAGCTAGTCTTTTTACCTGCGACGTGGCGCTCAGTTTAACTTTAATGTAGTATTTGTGAGTTAAGCAAAACACGTTCTGACATGCTGAGGTTAGCATTTTTATGCGGACAATGATCGACCTACAATATACCAGGACATGCTGGCCAAATGACGTTGGTGTGCAAACATTGGTTATATGGCCAAGCTCAATGTTTGCTTAAAAACGTAGTTAGCCAGCATATCCCGGTATACTGAAACTCGGTTATTATCAGCCGAAGAATTTTGAACTCATAAGTCCTAGAAATCAAGACCCTAAGGCCTGTCTTGCTTACATCAGCGATATATACTTCAAAAGTTTTTAATGTGGCAATCGAAGGTAACCACGATCTATGACACCAATTTCGTCGCGACTTACACTGCACGTTGACGTGGACACGAACTTTCGTTTTTCCCTGGGCGTTTGTAGCCTGCAAGTGATACCATCCGGCATCCAATCTGGTCACCGCCGACAGATTCAGCAGTGGTCCGTTGGGTAGCACTCTGGTGCCATCTGTCGGTGACCTTCTGGACCAGCGGTATGCAACATCGCCGGGATTGGCGCGGGCTGTCAGGTTTAGCACGCGAGATGTGCCGACCCGAATGTCTTCCGTGTAGAGTTTTTTGCTGAACACTGGCGGGTCTGTAAGGAGGGGGGGAGGGGGAACACGTGTCACGACTGCCATCAATGGCTGCTCTTGCGGATCAACGCTGGTAAATCCCATGGGCAGGAATTTGTACGATTTTGCGTCATAAAGACAAGCCATTCGACCGCATGATTTGATATCTTAATAAGTGGCCTTATTAGCCCCAATCTTGACGGGAATGTATAACTGCCTCTCACTCAGCACATTACGTTATTCATCCAGCGCATCAGCCTGACAGCCGCAGCACTTCTCAAGCACATGCCTTCCATTTGATATGCTGCTTGCAATTCAACTGACATTACGAGACTGCATCTGTATTACAGGATGCTGCAGAACACGGCATCAAGCCTAGAACAAAATTCTCACGGCAGAGTCTAACACTAGGAAGGGGCTGCGACCTCCCGACAATGTCGCGGGGCGCATGGTTAATGCAGGAGGCTCCATCCCATCCGAAGAGGTACGCGGAGCTCACATGCCACGTGGAGAGTGATATGGTTCTGCACGGCGCCTCTGAGCACAGACACGTCGGCGCTGCAGGTGAGCACGGCACCGTCGTCGGCCCACGTCAAGTTCCGTCGCAGCTGCAGCCGACTGGACGACCTGCGCCGGCAGACGCCACACGCGTTAGGAGAGCTGAATCCAAAAAGAGCGGGCTTTCGTATTCAGCCAATAGCAAACTGTTGGAAATTTTGTCCTTCACCACTCTATGAAGCTGTTTTTAAGGTAGGTTTTCATGTTTTTTTTCAACGTTGTTTCTTTTTTGCTAAGTGGAGGAGGTACATTGCCAGCCTCATATCGCTTTTTATGAAGCGAATGAGATTAAGCGAGCGAAAGCCCGCACATTTTTTGCTTGTGATGTTTTCTCGCCTTATACAAAGTGTTGCCTTCATCAATTAGTTGCAGAACGTGTTGCAGAGTCAGTTACTCCAGCAAGTACATAAACATAACTTATGCAACCTAAACACATGACCTAACATCCTCGTACATACCCGCCATTACTTCCAGCCGGGAACGTTTCTAGCGCCGTGACTCCATCGGTGACCTGGGCGTTGTCCCGCCACCAGGTGAGATCAGCGGCTGGGTAGGAGGGTCGGGACTCACAGGTCAGGATCGCCTGACTGCCCGCCCTCAGACGCTCCGGACGAACCTCCAGCTTCAGGCTGCTCGGCGGAACTGTTGGCGAAGACATAGCACCCGATGAAGAGCTGCTTCCGTAATAGTACGGTTCGCTCGCACAGAACAGTGGCATCATTCGTTTTCTTTCAAAGCATGCTAGGCACCGAAACTCCGAAAATCGACGACGGGTCATTCGCTTTTGTCATATCCTGCCGCGTTATCCCTATATTTCGCAACGCAGGCTACCCGGCGCCGAGGTCAGAGACACTCACAGTAGACGCGGAGAGTGACGTTCGCTGTCTGCCGTATGGCGGCGGCCGAGTTCTGGCTGTCGCACTTGTACACCCTGCCGTTGTCCTTGTGGTCCACCTCGAACGTGATGACGCCCCGGGCCACGTTGTCCTCGACGGTGGTCGGCGACGGCCGCTCGACGTCGCCGCTGTACCAGGTCAGGGTGGCCGGCGGGTTGCCGCCCTGGGAGACGCACGAGAGCGACACCCGCTCCCCAGCCCGCAGGTACGTGCCCGGCTCGTAGCCCAGGATGCTCGGCGGCTTCGGAGGATCTGGAATGGCAAAAGCAATGGTTGGTGACATCAGTGGCGTTGATATCGTAACTACCTGGCGGGTCGTGGCAACAGAAGAAACAACTGTAAGCACTTACAATTGTTTAGTTGTAAGCACTTTTTCAAAGGCCCGAGCTGGGCTTGATTTACGTTGATCCTGACGTGTTTTCATTGACGGCCAGCCGTCGACAGACTTCAGACTTACGGAGCACGATGACTCTCGTCGATTCGACTTTGGTTAGGCCCAGCGCCGGGTTGAGTGCGTAACAGGCGACCATCATGTTCTCCTCCATGCCGGGAGGGATGATTGTGGAGATGTTGGAGCTGGTCACCCAGCCGCCGGCGGGGGCTGCGGCCTTCCTCTGAGTGGTCTGAAGAAATCGGAATCAATTTACAAGAAGCATTCTCAATGTATGCCACGATCAAGCGATTGTCGTGTTACAGAACGCATGAGCAGATTAATTAACCTGATTGAGCGCCCATGACCATCACTTCATTGAGATAGGCAAATGCATGACCCGATTGAGCCACATTCTGCTTCTCTTGCAGCACAACTACCCCAGCTCAGTTACTGACAATGAATGTGATGGTGGGGTCACGCGATCGTGATCTTTCAACTCACGTTGATCATAGTCCGTCCGTTGATGACCCAGGTGATGTTGGCCGGGGGGTTGCTGCTGGAGGTCACACAGGTCATCCTCACGCTCTCGCCTCCTTTCGCCTCCTTCGTGCCTCTGATTGTGACGGTCTCCGGCCCGACTGAAGAGAAAGATCGTGTACGACTTTGATCGCGGGCCAGAAAACCCACATTTTACCAAGTCGGACGCTTGTTTGTTCATTGCTGCAAGTGTATCTACTCAAAGGACACCAAAGGTACAGGTGCCCGCAGCATTCAGTGGAAGACTTGACAGAACCATCCATCGTTCCAGTGTTATTCCGTGGCAATGCGTCCGGCATGATCATGACACTAATCCGTGCCACGGAAAGGATGTGCGCGTGCCCGTAGATTCGAAACAACGCGGTTTCCTCAACGCTAGCCTGCTGAGGTTGTTGGAAGAGCTTTTTCAAAGTGAGACGTTTGCTAAAGCGACCGTTGTGATAATTTGAACTCTCTCGGCGGATGATGACCACAACCGTGGTTTTGTCGTGTATTGACACTACTGGACGACTTTTACCATAGATACACGCATGAATGAGCTGCTGCACAGTCTTACAGGGTAATCTGGTCCGACGGAAACATTAAGTCCCTGTCAGATGTCAGCAGCAATGACAGTTCTCGGAACAAGTACTGCACGATGGTTTGTCTCCAAATCTGCACAAATACTGCAGGATGATTAGCATGCGTGACAGATGTTTTCAGTCATTTCCAGTCCGTAAACGCCGCGAAAGGAAAGTGTGAGTGCAAAAGTAGTGTTCTCCGCGATTTTAGATTGCCCTGGCGGAATGATACCGAATACGTGACATCTGTCCATAGTGACATCTGCCCATAGTAGCATCTGCCCATCACTTGCATTGATGGACCCAAACGGCAGGCCGGTGCCCGCGATGAGCTGTCGTGACCACCGTTTGATTCACATTGACCCAAGCGACCGTATTCACGCTGACCAGCTTTGGTGACCTCTGACCAATCCTCACTGCGGCCCAATGACCGCCGCTCAGCAAGTCAGTCACCAGCCCTGACGCTGTTCACTGCTCTCGCTACCCCGCTGCCGGCGTCGTCGTTCGGTACTCACACTGCACGGCGGTGCGCACGGAGGCGGCGGTGACCTCGGTCTGCACCGGGGACGTGGCCTGACACCGGTACACGGCGCCCAGGTCCGAGACGGCGGCGCGGAACCTGTGCTCGGCCAGCGCCTGGCCCGGCATCGAGCGGTACTTGGAGCTGACCGGCTGACCGTTCTTGAGCCAGACCAGCTGCGCCGGCGGGTTGCCGCCCCGGGAGATGCAGGTCAGTGTCTTCTGCTCGCCGATTCTGACCACCTCGCCCTCCGTGTAGCCGCTGATCTCAGGGAGTCCCGGAGGGTCTGCCGAAGAGACGCGGCGTTCTTGAATCATGGATGCAAAATACGCTGCGCTGGGTCTCATTAGCCCCTCTATGGCAAAAAGCTGGGCCCCTTGTTTCAAGAAAGTGCAAGAACGTTTTTGAATACGTGCCTCTTGTTCACAGAATGTTATTTTCCTGAGCACCGAACACTGATAACAAAAGATCACGGAGTAAAATAACAGATCTTGCTCTGTTATTTTACTCCGTAACGACAGAGCTTGCTTTGTCGCGTAACGTCACAGCTAATCGGATGCAAGCATGATAAAGACGCTATTTCACTGGTAAACACAAACAGTGCACTCACAGAGGACGGAGAGCCGCACGGTAGAGTTGAGCTGGCGCTGCTCGGCCGGTCGGATGGCCGGGTGTTTGGCCACGCACGAGTAGCCGGCACCATCATCAGCAGCAGTGGGCCGCAGAGTCACCACCGAGGTCGTGTCGTTACGGCGGGGACTGCCCCAGCCGGCGAACGAGTCCTCTTGCCCTGTGACCGCGAAACATCTGTGTGACCGGTCGTGCCCCGCATAGCGGGCGGAGCAAGTGTCCGTTTCAAGAACGGCGCCCTGGCTTGCCCTGGTGCTGCTGCTGGTGAGTCGTGATTACGGTGGGGCTTGCTTCCAGTCAGAAGCGTTTCGCTATGCTGTTGTTAAGGTCGACTAAATGCCACCGCGACTATTTTAGCAACAGAGAGTGGCACGTTCATAGCGACCGCAAACTTTGTCAAAGACAGCCCGCAGCGTTCCACACAAATCACTAGGGTTGCCGGAGAACTTATCAAAAACTGGACGATTCGTTGAGTTGACCTCCATTTTTACCGGAAGCTTTTCAGAGGTTTCCCAGAAATGTGACGACATCTAGCACTTACTAATGTCGATATCAATGCCGTTTCGCTGCCACTGAATATTGGCGGCCGGTCTGGCGCCGGTGACGTCACATTTTAACGTCAGCTGACTACCCTCGTTGACCTCATACAAGCCGGGCCTTGGAGATCGGCCGGTGGAGCTTGCAGTCACCGACGTCGGCTTTACTGAAAGAGATGCGGCTCTTGTTATTGCAATGGCGTCGCCCCTCAATGCCCTGTGCAATAGAACTAGCCCCAAACAATCTGACAAGTCCAGGCGGTAGTGGCAGCAACGCAGGGTGAACAGTCATCAGACTATTCTGCAGAACTTTACGAAGTAGAAGTGCTCACTGATGAATGTAACTGGCGAAGTAAACACTCCAACATAGCTAAATGCGAGAGCGAGATCGATACACACTTGCAAAGTTCTGGAAAGCAGCATAAAAGAAGCACTGCAACCATTGCGTACAATTCCACTCCAGCTCACGAACGCGCGAGTTCACCCAACATCGCCTCAGCAAGCCCATGCGCCCCATCTCCAGGCACAGCAGGGCACGCCGCCGCCACCCCAGCACGCCGCCGTCAAGATAGCCTCGACAAATGAACGCAGGCCGGTCCATCAGCACCTGCAAGCGGCGTCTGTGCCACCCCGAGCGGTGCTCTTCCTGCGGCCCGGGCGCCGCGCCTAGCGTCGGATGCGGCCCCCTGGTGCTGCCGCGCCGATAAAGCGCCCTGCGCGGCATCTGCGCGACGACACCGGACGGCCGGATAGAATCACGCGCGGCGGAGATGGATGGGGGGCGCCTGGCCGGCGCCTAACGGCGCGATCCGTCACCAACGGAGCCGCCGGCCCGTCGCACGTGCTCGCAACCGTGGGCCTTGTCGCTAGGCCCTCAGGCCTCACGGGTCTCCCACGCGCTTTGCGGGCCGGACTGCTGACTTGAAGTGTCGGCTCACCGACTTTACACGGCTTGGCCCACAAACTTGGTGGGCCGGCCCGTGGGCTTCACGGATCTGGTTACAGCCCCTTCGGATCGACCGATTGATAGACTTCGTGGGCAGTCCCGCGGGCGTCACGGGCCAGCCCGCGGGCTTCCAGGACCGGCCCATGACCGCGCTCTCAGATAGCTCCGCACTCTGAGAAGTACCAGCCTGGGGCGGCCGTGCGTGGATACGACCGTTTTCCCGACAGCAGCTGTCGGTCGGAGCGGGACGGGCCGATATCTGACATAACCATGCAAGGACCTCGGCTCCTGTTTCTTCGGCATACTGAGTTCCGAGTTGAGCTGGGCTATCGACTTGAATGCGCCAAGAGGTGCTGGTTAAACGTCGGTGCAGAGCAAACATCGGTTACGCTCGCAACACTTGGCCCTTCAAGCTGGACTTATGATCGCTCGTGACCATAAGTGATCATATGACCACTCGTCACCAGTCAGCCCCTCCTGGCATATTGGAGGTCGATGACTCAAGAACTCTGAGCTCAGCCGACCGATATTACCAGCTCCGCCTTCGGCGCGTCCGAGCTGTACAGGAAAATTACAGGGGAATTGATGGCGGGGAAGCCGGCTGCCAAAGCACGCCTTCGACTAGCGGAGTGAGGCTGTAAATAATGCCCCAGTGGCAGGGTTGGGGGGCCGCTGTCGAACCTTGGTCGACGAGCCCGGTTCAGACAAAACAATCAAGTCACTGCTGGCTAGGCACAGTTCGATAGCTTATGGTGCAGAACAAAAACGGTAAAAAGGTTAAAATGACGTGACAGCCAAATGCACTTCACTCGATACATTGGCTGGTTATTTGTGCCAGTGAGAGCGACAAGCAACAAACATTAAAAAATATGCAGCGTAGTGCACTGTTACTGACATGGCCTTTATGAAATCCTGTACAAATATATGGTGTTATTGGTCTTCCTTTGTTTCACCGGAGCTACAACAAATCGCTCGCCCATTCGTGCTACAATTTTATGATCAAGATCACACTGACTTCCGCACTCGACTGAAAGCAGCTTTCACCACCGGCCGAGATAAAACAGACAATTTTTATGATGAACATTTTACCTGGTAGCTGTGATGAGGTCCTGATGCCCTGATGACCAGGTAAGGACGACTTACCGAGTACGGTGAGGAGAGCGTCAGCTCTGATGGCCGCCTGCCCCCTGTTCGGTGAGACCTGACACTGGAACCGGCCGTCGTCGTCCAGGCTCACGTTGGTGACCTCGAGGTCATGCACTCCTGAGCCCGGGTCGCCCAGCATGCGGTATTTAGGATACCCGGGAAGCGAGCGCGAATAGCCTGCAAGCCAGGAGAGAGCGTCACACAATGGCACTACTGAGAAACCGCTTGCATTATGCAAACAGCTCCAACTAACCGGACCGCAGCCGCTCCGCCGCGCATAACGAGCCACCTTCACGCCAGACCAACACCAGCGCTAGGCTCAAGAGCTCGGCGTCGCCAACACGCACACAACCGGGCGCAATCTCCTCGTGGGGCGTGCCGGCCTGGACCGTCGAACGGCTTCTTTACAGCGCCGCCTCAGATTGCTGTTCGTCTTACGCGTAAACAAGCCGGCCGGAACTGCTCGCAAACTTCGCACGTCTGATCGCAAAACGCGCAACGCCAACACAATATCCTCGCAGAGTCCACAAACAACGGCGCCGTTGCAAGACACGCGCCAAACTGGGCGTCGGAGGCGCGAACGCTTGGTGTGCCACGAGTGTCCGGACGGGCGCGAGGACCAGGCTCGCTCGGAAGGAAGGCTTCAGCATTATCGCCTGAAGCCCGCCAACCCTGACCTGTTTCGCTGCGACGTCTTATGGATTAGCCCGACAGGGTTGTCTGGCAATGTCGCGCAAGACCTCGAACCAGCATCGCTTTGACCACGCCGACCCGGGGCACAGCCAAAAGGTGGGGATGTGCTGGGGTGGGGGCTTAAGGGGCGTCAGCAAACCCTCCCTTCCTTTGGGATCGAGTGCAGTTTTTCACCACGTCATTTTCGAAAAAAGTTCGACAACCTTCTCATTCGGAAAACTTGCTTTGCTTTACATCTGATTCATCACCATGGATAGTGCAATGTCGTGCCCGATAGCAGTAATCTAGTGGCACCAAGGTCAGCGGATGGCCGAGTGAATAAGTCCGAGACACAGCTGAACCAAAAATTTTCCGAGTCACGGCAAACTAACATTGGCAGTCTATCGATACGCTAGCACGCTGCCTTTTATAGTGTCTGTGGTGTGTTGCTGTGTGAGCGCAATGCGTAGGTACTGTGAATAAGGCTTGGACCTGAACTGAACAGAATCCTTGCCCCTCCCCCGCCCCCCCCCCCCCCCCCCCCCCCCCCCCCCCCCCCCCCCCCCCCCCCCCAACACCATCCCTCACCGTCATCAGCCACATCCCCGTCGTCCCGCACGGTTTTCAGACCGGCTGGTGACGGCACGGGTGGTGTCGACGGGTGATGACGGCTGGTGACGGACGGGTGGTGTCGACGCCGACGAGCGGAGAGCGGCGTCGACAGCCGGCCGATCAGACCGCGCCGCGCCGGCTCGGCGCCGTCCAATTTTCCTAATGATTTTCCAGATCGAGGCGCTAATTGTCGCGCGGGGATGACGCCGCGATGGTAGCGATAGGGCGATCGGGGCCGGCGAGCGGCCGCATTCCGCAGCCCGTTCGGAGCTGGCGCGCGGCACGCACGCTGGCGGTCAGCCGCCAATTGGGATAGGCGTATGATTTCTCTGTGATGTTCTGTTCCGCCAGCTTGTGAATGAAGTGATGGCTTGTCTCGTTTAGTTGAAAACGTTGTTAGGAGATGTTGAGGTTTTATGGGCGTTGCGAATGCGATGAAAACTACAGCAGGTTCGAACACTTGGAACCTTGAAAGTATCTGTAAGCATAATGGAAATATGAAAGTATGAAAGTATCTACGGTTTTTCGTCAGAAAGTTGAAACTCAGTTGCAGACAAAGTCGCATTTTTAATGGTATGGATGACAAAAATAAGCATGATGCTGGTTTTCAATACTGACTGCACAGCACCTCGTTTTCGCGATAGCACATTGAATATGTCGGCCAGAGTTCTTCCCGTTCAGTAAGGCGTCTCGGAATCGAGGCTGACACGTGAATGGGTTCTCTGTCAGCTGCGACCCACGGCGTTACCAAAATCCATCTCGCGTCACCGCGTCGCCGGTGCCGGTTGATAAGGTCACAAGGTCGCAGCACACCGCGACCCGACCCCGCATGCTGATAGAGAAGTTCAGGTGGCCTTTCGGCGAAGCGGGCATTTCCTGAGGTCTGCGGGGCGAAGGCTTCAGCAGACACGCCGCCATTCCCGAGCGTTCGCGGACGGCATGCCGGCGCAGGCGACCATTCCTGGACATCGGCCGAGTTTGGCAGCGCGCGTGCCGACATTTGGCAGCGCCACAAAGCCCGAGCCGGACGCGCGCCGCTCGTGGCCGCCGCGGCTTCCGTCCCGCTCGGCCGGGGGTCGACGTGTGCCCGCCTGTCCTCGCGCGACAGCGGCGCGGGCAGCCAGCGGTCGTGTCCGCCCGGCGTGTCCGCGTGTCCACATACTTGCGCGTGATGGTGACAGGACACGCTGGTATCCCTTTTGTTGAGGTGTGTCATTCGAGGGTAGAGAGTGTTTGATGTGGGGCTAGTATTTTGTGATTAGTCCGCCTGTCACAAGCCTTTCTAAAAGTGGGGCTTTGGTGTGAGGTAAAAAAGTGTTTGCTTTATCTAAATGATCGGGGCCAATAAAAATGAGACGTAAGTGCAATTTCATGGCTTCTTTTCAAATTCAAACAAAAACAGACACAGCTCCCAATAATGAAAGTACGTGATGAATACGCAACAGCTACAGTAGAAACCTTCTTTCAAAGGGGTCACTGACATAAGAGAAATGCTTACCCAAGGCGAACCCGTCCTTGGCCCACTGCAGCTGGCCGACCTGATGGTGCACCTCACAGCGCAAGATGGCGCTGTCTCCCTCCACCACGCTGACGTTGGACGGTCGCACCCGGAACCGCTGCTGCTGGCACAACACTGAAACAAACGGGAATGATGCGGTGAATATGACGAATGATGCCATCAATGTATCACATGTGGCTGCCCTGGGGTGCACTGTGAGGCGTAAGTCATCACTTCAGGGCGGATTCTACATTGACATTATTTTGTTACGGTGGCATGTTCGAAATACCTGTCTAATTGCCCTAAAATCTAGTGGAAACGGGGACGAATATGCTTTTTCGTTGTCATGGAGAGGGCCTAGCACGGTCACTCATCAGTGAATTCGACAGTGCCATCATCATCATTATTAACCAATGGCTGGCACTACCATCACGATAACATATGTGACCTTCTTATCTGATGAAGATTGCGGCAATCGTTTTCGTGAAGCAATCATGAAGGTTCTAAAATGATATCTATAACCTGTTAATATCACGGATGCATTTTTTTAACCGGCGCTTTATTTGTGACATCCATATTATTTTATTACGCTCTGTAATACGGCACTGTACGTACACGAGTTTAAAACATTGTAAAACACCGCACAGTGATATATATATATATATATATATATATATATATATATATATATATATATATAACCCTCCCGCTCGCTCATCGCGCTGCCTGCCGCCTTGGCCACCCCACAGTAACGGCCTCTCTTGTCACAGCCCCTCTGCAGGGTGTTAACAGACTCCCTGCCGGCCGAAGTTATCTGATGTTCCACTCGGGTTGTTCACAATGCCGGGCGACCCCGCGGCCAGTTCCCGGCCCCACGCCGACCTGTCCACGAGACCGCGTCCTATGCCGGGGCAGGAGCCGCGACAGCGAGCGGGAGGCCGGGCGCGAGGGTGGGTGTGTTGCGGAGGTCCTCGCGAGTGACAACACGGTACGTCGGTGTCGTGCGTGAGCACTCTTGCATTCATAGACAAGCAAGCGTCACCCCATAAATATAGAGTGTCTTGATATAGCTGGCACAACCATGATCTGGCCGTCATTTGCCACAAGGTCCTCTGTCCAGACGGCCTCTCAGAGCTGCCAAACCTACCCGATATAATGGTGGCGACCTTCGCTTCAGATGCAGCCTATTACCTGTGATGCATTGTCGGAGTGGGCGCGCACCTGCCGCCGCGTCTGGTCGCTCGCACGCGCTAATGACCGGCCTGGACGTGTCACCGCGACGCTCCTGGGCAGGAGACACGGCTCAGCAGGCCTACCGGCGCCGGCCCGCCCGGATGTACCCCCACCGCCACCTCATCCCTCCCCGTTCCAGAAATATGGCCGCACCGAATGTCGCGCGAGACAATAAAGAGCGAATGTATAAATTCGCGTCGATTTATTGTCAGGTTTTAGAAATCGGAGCGTTGGTGACGGCTCGCGGCTGACGGAAGGGCGCGCGGAAGACGGTCGCGTCGGAGGGGGTTAGACGGCGGCAGCTGGGCCGTCACCCGAGGTCGACGGAAGCCCCGCGCCGGCCGCCGCGGTCACCGCAGCCGCTCGCCGAGTTCGTTGGCCATTTCCAATTACGGCGAACGGACGGAGTGGCCAAGGACGGCGTCCCGGCCTATTGTTCTGCCACCCCCTCACAAACGATCTCCTACGCGGCCGCGTGCGAAAATAGGCGTGAAAGGAAACAGGTTCGGTGGCGAATCCAGACCATTAAAGGCTTCTCCTTCCGCCTGATCCGCGGCAGACTGTAACCGCCTCCGGATACAGCGCAGCTGGCACAGGCCCAAGCTATCTAGAGGGTTTTGTCGCCATCCAACTCCTGCCTTTACAGTCGGCAAGTCTTGTATTTTATGTTCTCACTTTGTAGCGCTTTCACACATCCCTAGCTCACAAAAGGCGCAATAAATTGATGAAATGGTGTGACATTTCCTGGTCTGCATGTGCCACAGCACTAGGACAATGTGAAACGAGGTCAGCAAAGTCATGCTGGCATTGAAGGAGTAGCCACAGTTCCATGGCAAACCAGCACCCATCCACCACAGCTTGACCTATGGCAGCTTCACTGGGACGGCTACACGGGCAATCAAATTGATCCAGGGTTTGGCGGGGCCCATAACTTCCAATTTGTGACGATCAAATTCGGAGACAGATGACTAGATTACCGACGGATGGCGCCTGCTGCCGCATACGACAGTTCCAGGGCGATCGTTAGGGGATGAGCCCAATCACACTTCTCCCATCGGCGAGCGTGGGAACAGGTGTCGGCGCGGGTGAGACGCCGTATTTTACCCCCCAATAAACGGCGGCCTTCTCTGAGCTCGAGCTGATCGTCCCATTCACGCGGCGGCGTCCATTCCAGGCGTGCCAGCCTAGGCGGCGGCGCCAACGATCGCCTCGTAACCGGGCCAGGCACGCCGCCCCCGGCCGCCCGCACCGCGGGTCAAGATCACGCTAAGGTCGGCGCTCCGGCGACCGCCGCGCCGCTGACCAGTTCGAGGAATGCCGGCGCACTGGGCCGCCGCGGCGCCCCGCCTCGCCCGCGCGACCCCGGGCTCGCGGCCGCCGCTGGCGGAGCGGCAAACTCGAACGGCCCGGCCCCCGCGACCGGTGCTGCGACAACTCCGAACAATGCGTCAAAGACGGGGCAAACTCGGCCAGGCCCCCCGACGCACGGCGATTTGGCTTATTCGCCTGGGACGGGCTGGAGACCGCGAAGGCCACTTGAAATCAATGCGGACTGCGTTCACGCTGTGCGTCGTCGTGCTGGCGGCGCGCGGAACAGCCACGGCAGCAAGGCATCGCCGCGGCTTCGCGATGCACTACCGACCGCGTGATGACGCACGGCGCTCGTGATGACGTGATGACAATGGCGCTCAGCTGGATCTGGCGGCGGCCGCTCCGACGGCAGGCTGTCTGACGGTCTGGCCGTGTGCGGCGGGCCACGCCGGTCCCCGTCCGAGCCGCTCCTCGCTCAGATCAGCGGCCCACCCAACGGTCCCGAGTTACGAGGCGCCCTAAATCGGCTTTGTACGACAGCCACCTGCGGAGGCCCGCTGCAAGCTGCAGCCACCTGGCCGAGCATGAATGGACCCGGCCGTGGCGCTGAAGTCACGCCGCCGCCGCCGCCGGCAGACGCCGCCGCACCTTCCGGAAACGGCGGCCCCGCCGCGCTAAATCACCGGCCGACCCGGTGCCGTTATCTATGCAAATGCCATTCATGCAGTTATTGTCGCGGAGGCTGGAAGGCGGCACGGTAGCGGGCGGCGGAGGGCAGCAGAAGGCCGAGGAGATGCGCCAGGAGACGAGGGAGGACGCGAGGAGATGGCCGCGGGGCAGCGGGGGAGGTTTAGGAGAGGGTTGGATGGGTGTGGCGGGGAAGTTTAGAGCGGCTACGAAGCGAAAAGGTAATTTCAAACAGAAAGCATTATTTGCCATAAACACAATAGCTATTAGCATCTCAAACGTCTAAGCAATTTACCTCGGCGCAATACCAAGGTAGCAACAGATGACAATCGAAGAAATGAACCAACCATTTGCACGACTGCAGCGAACATTGGCATTTCTGTGTTTCATTCCACGACGAACTACGTACCTTGCCTTGCCCGCATACCTTCTACCTTCAAACCTGACAGGTCACGCGCACGTGAACGTCACATCCCTCCCCTTCCCCGACATGTCCCAAGTAGCCGTGGGATCCGTCTTCCGACGCAGACGGGAGACTCCCTCGTCCCCGTGGACCCATGGGGCCCCCCTTCTGGCTCCACACCGAGGCGCGCAGTCGAGCGGTGCGTGTTATCCGGCGATGATCACAGCTGCCCGAGGACGGCCGGGCATCGATCGGCCACGGGACCGGCCATCCAGCTGGCCACCGCTGGACGGCCGGGTCGGGGGCGAGCGTGCTGGATGCGTGTCGTGACGGTCGCTGATATAGATCGGGCCATGGAGCGATGGGCCGTGCCGCTAGACCCCCCCCCCCCCCCTCCCCGGTGACCGGCCCGCCAGGCCGGCCACCGAGTCCAAACGCGCGGCGAATGACCCCGCACATGATCCCGTTGAATCTCCGGTGTAAAACGGCATCTGCATACTAATCAAACGCAATCACGACCGGATTCGCCGGGCGAATTTTACTGCTTTCAATTAGAGCCGGCGTATAATTCGACTGGGCCGACGCGGCGGCCTACCGGCTGCGCCCGGGTCCGCGGCGGCGGCGGCGGCGGCGGCGGCGGTGGCGGCGGCGCGCGGGGGCGGGCGGACCGCTTCCGGCGTCGCGTCCCGGCGGGATGAGCCGGGCCGACGGGAGCGGTCGCCTGACACCCGATCGGTACCCGTCCGCTGCCGGCAGCCGCGGCACGCCTCGCCGCCTGGCCGGCACGCGGGGAGTGCCGTCCACCTGTGACCGGGAGCGGCCCGCCGGCGGCGCTGGGCACGGCGTGGCGCCGTGCACACTCCTCCTACGAGCTCGCGGAATGAGGAGCCAGGAGAAGACGGCACAGGTGTGCACAACACTGGACACGGCTGGGAATGTGATGACTGTCGCTCTGCTTGACCACGATGGGTGTGTTTACATGTTGGGTGAATTCAGTCGGAAAAGCTTGTCTGTGCTTCAGCAATGCTTTTTGACGTCATGAACCGAAAGGCTGGCATCCGTCTTAAAGTCCAACCCACCTTTTCAGGAAGGTCAGGGCATGTTACACCCCCCCCCCTTCTTTTGTTTCCCGTCATTCACTAGGCAAGGACACGGCACAAATTCATACCAAAGGGAGTGGGTAAATGGCTCAGCATTTACCGATTCCATGTCATTTCACAAACTGTTTTGAGTCTGCCTTCGGACAGAATGCTGACAGGATATAATTTCCAGCCAAAGTGTCTGATACGGCATGCAAAAAATGACGTCTTTTGAACATTTTGAGCTTTCTACCATTGGGCTTAATAGGGCTGTAATTCAAACGCATTTTGATGTGCTGCTCTCATCTGCATTTTGCTTATGACTGATAATATTAACTCGGTTGTGGTTATACGCCGCAACACAACTGCCCATTAGCTCGGTTGGTTGAACTCAAGTCGGCTCAAGTCGGCTCTTCGCGAAT